TTAGTTATTCATGTCTCCATCTTTCTACACAGGTCATGTCCAGGATGTTCTCCTGATCATGGATGTTTACAAACTGGCCCTTAGTTTTAAGCTTTCTCGGCTGGAGCAGCTGTGCGTGCAGTACATCGAGGCATCTGTCGACCTGCAGAACGTTCTCAGTGTTTGTGAAAATGCCAACAAGCTTCAACTGGACCAGCTTAAGGTACAGCCAGATAGAACTACATGGACTGATCATTTGTTTTTAATGATCTCCGGTGGATGAAGTTGAGTGTGTCTTCAGATGAGCCTGACATCTCTCTCAAGTTTAGATCAGCAACAGCTCTGAATCTTTAAAGTGATAAGTTTGGTATGAAGTTACTCTTTAAGATCAGAGGAGCAGAAGGAAGGAAAACTAATGCTCAGAAATGTTTTCTTTCTTCAGGAACATTGTCTTAATTTTGTGGTGAAGGAGTCGCACTTCAACCAGGTGATCATGACAAAAGAGTTTGAGCATCTCTCCACCCCGCTGATAGTGGAAATAGTGCGGCGAAAACAGCAGCCTCCTCCCAGGCTGTACTCGGACCAGCCGGTGGATATTGGGACGTCCCTGGTGCAGGACATGAAGGCTTATCTGGAGGGAGGCGGCCTGGAGTTCTGCGACATCATTCTGCTGTTAGATGGTCACCCACGACCTGCACATAAAGCCATACTGGCTGCCCGCTCCAGGTAGAGGCAACACAGATTTAATGCACTGGTGTTTGCAGCTACATTAAGCTACATTGTTGTCCCCTGGTTAGGCTCAAATTAGATTTATTTTTTTGATTTTCTGCTCTATTGACAGCACTTAGAAGCTGATCCTTATAGATGTGGTTACATTTTCTATTCCTTGTATTCATAGTAAATTGCAGCTTAGTGACTATTTTACTTTTTGTACATTTATTCCTCAGTTACTTTGAGGCGATGTTCCGCTCCTTCATGCCTGAGGACGGTCAGGTAAATATATCCATCGGGGAGATGGTCCCAAGTAAGCAGGCTTTTGAATCCATGCTGCGCTACATCTACTATGGAGACGTCAACATGCCTCCAGAAGATTCCCTGTATCCTTCTCAAATCACCTGATATATATTCACTAGATGAAGAGTCTACTGTGTCTGCTACCGCTGCCTATAAATAAGTTGTGGACGTCAGGTATGTGGCTGAGTTGTACAAACAGACAAGAAATAAATTAATCCAAAGTATACCTACCTTAAAGCCTTGATACCTTTTCTCCAGTTTATATCTTTTGAAATATGTAGACTGTATTCCTACTGCCATAAATCATACAAAAAGACAAAGCCAAGGTTACATTTCTTAACAGTATATGTCTTAATGTTATGTTTGGTTCACACTAAACAACATATAGTTTTTAATGACGTAATAGGAATAACTATCCCTACTATCACCTGGTGGAACTTGCATATGAGTTTCATTTAGTGAGCAAATCCTTCACATAAAAGCTCCTCATGAATGTAAAATTCACTACATGGCAGGTGAAGACACAGAATCCTGCTTTTTAAGTCAAATTCAAAGAGCTTTGCTGCAATGTTGCATTGAGAGAAAACTTCCCTTCCTTGACCCTTGAAAAACAGCTATCTGTTTGCTGCACCGTATTACTACGGCTTTTCCAATAACAGGCTGCAGGCTTACTGCAAGCAGAATCTGGAGATGAACGTCACAGTGGAGAACGTCTTGCAGGTATTTGTGTTTTCACCCAGGGGGAGCACTGACCTAATTGGACAACTCCTGTCACTTGCCCCCTATTTTTAATGCAGAATGAGTCATTTCTCCACTCACTTCTCCATCAATGTCCCCCCCCCCTCCCCCTCAGATTCTGGAGGCAGCGGATAAGACCCAGGCTCTGGACATGAAGAAGCACTGCCTCCACATTATTGTCCACCAGTTCATCAAGGTGGGTGGGCTTGTATCCGGAGCCCTGGGGTTTTGCTGCCCACTCACTGCAGCTGAGCTAACCCTCTAGAAACTGTCTTCTTTGCGGGAGAGTGACACCTTTGGCCTCCCAGTGGATCACCCTCCATCTTCTACGTAGAGAGGAGACTGTTTACAGGCTTGGCCGGCTGTACAAGCACCTCATCACATAACGATGAGGGTCACAGTGGCACTCTCATTATTGTTTGTTATCCAAAGAAACAATGAAGCACTCAATTTTCACTTCGCTTCACTGGAGTGTTAGCTCTGCTGTTAATGTTTGCGTTCAGCTGTTTTTTTTTTTCTCTGTTGTTTTCATTTATTGTGCATGAGCGATCAAGTGCTGCTTTTTTTCTCCCCATTTTGCTCTGAGTGACTCATTGTCCTGTCTTAATTTATGGCTCATTTTTTTCTTTTTCTTTTTTGCTCTCCTCCCCTCCCAAAGGTATCCAAGCTCCCCAACCTGCGGTCTCTCAGCCAGCTGCTGTTGTTGGACATCATTGAGTCTCTAGCTACACACATATCAGACAAACAGTGTGCCGAGATGGGCTCCGATATTTAGGATGACCGCGAGAGCCGGACTCTTTTTTTCTCCTCATACAGAAGCCATAAATCTCTGCTGCACCTACTTCTAGTCATTCCCTCCTCCCCAACACGCAGTGCTTTTGTTTTCGTTGGGCTTTGCATGTCTCACACCTCCATACAATAGATGCCTTTTCTCCGCATTGTATCAACCGTCTGCGTCTCGGCGAGGAGTGAAACCAGATTCTAGCTTTGTTAGAACTGTTAAATGATGTAAAATTCCCTTTTTAGTTTAATTTGTCATTTATTTATTTTGTACACACAGAACTAAACGTTTGCAAGGTTTTATTCTGCTCAGTATTACTTTGGGATTTTTAAAAAAATTGATATGCAGTTTACTGTAGGAATTCATATATGTGACGCTAGAAATGTATCTCAGATCTGTTCTTAGTCATCTAAATACAGTGTAATCAGAGTATACCATTACATATTTATCTAAATCTCTATACATCGCTGTGTTACTCTCAGCTGTGACACAATTAACAAGCCTGGATTAAACAGTATAAGGAGTCCAAATAAGTACAAAAGCTATTTGTTTTGTTTAATGTCATTGGCGCACATCTTTGTAATACTAATCACCTCCTACATTACTAACAGACGACTTCTCTTTAGCCATACGATATAGAAACATGTATTTAGTGACATCAGTATGCTGTTATTAAATAATGACCCACATGGGTTTCGTGTATTTAAAGCCTTAATAAATCTTCTCATACAAAACCAGTCATGTTCCACTGAGCCTCCATGGTCCCTCCTGCACTCTGAACTCTTGTTCCTCTTGTGAAATGCAGACCCAGTGGAGGCTGCACCCACTTTAAACCCGTACATCTCATTTTCTTAGAAAGCACAGCATGCCTCCTTAGCCGTCCGCTTTCATTTAAACTGCCTTTAAATCGTCACCCAAGCAAAGAGCGGACACCTGCATTATATAAGTTTCAGCATAAAGCTAGACTGCAGTCCTGAGCTCCACTGGCTTTATGTAATTTCATCTAAATGCCACGACCGCCTCAGTAGTCCAGTTTAATCAATCAGTCAATCACACTTCATTTGTGTAGCACTTTTTAGACTGTAGACTGCTTTACACAATATGAACAGGAAGTAAATGTGCAACGTGGAAACATCAGAATCAAGTAACAAAAAATTAATCATAATAGCAAAATAAGACAATAATAAAAAAGTGAAGCGGGAACGAGGACATAACAGACCATAAAATTATCCCTGCTGTACATAGCTATGATAGTTCACATTAAAATTGGAACTGATACTTCCTCTTAAATGTCTTCATAATTACAGTGGAGTATTCACAGGTCCTTTAATACTAGAAAGCAGAATTCTTAACAGACTGTCACCATAAGCTGAAGCCGTTGTAACGTATGCGCTATGTGAAAAAGCTGAAGGTTAAGCCTTGACCTTTCATCAAGTTAGTCGCGTCCATTAGTGGTTTCAGTTTCCACAGATCTGCAGATGATAAGGTCAGACAATGCTCCTTGGTTTGGGTGAATTCCTTCAGCTTCTGCAAGGTTTTGCATTTGCAGAGATTTCAACATTCCTCAGTGAGCTATCTTCAAATGTAGTAGGTTAACTCTTCCAATTAAAATTGCAGAATCTTACAGACTGTTTTGAAACACTTGCATTTGCACAAGTCTTGGAGGCAGACAGGCCAGCTTTAAACACCCAGTGTGGCTCAAATAAGATGGAGAATATGTTGCATTTTGTGAATAGATCAGTTGTTTTTTTATTTACGGACAGAGAAAAAGGTCTGACCTAAATGCTGAGCCAGTAGATTGGGTTTTCTGTGAGCTGGCAGTCAAACTGCAAGATCTGTACAGAGCCACAGTGGAATTCACCAAGTGTTGGACTCTTTTGGGTTGTTGTAAGGACCGTTGCAGCGAACACAAAGTGCTATTCATAGTCCAGATATTTGAGACACTTGGCAAATCAAAAGCTCCCCCTTTGATTTCTTAAGAGTGTAAATGTCTTAATTAAAAGAATGCCAAAGTCTCACCAGTGACTTTGCTACAGAAAAAAAAATCGTCTGAAGTAATTACAACTTTGAAAGATGGACTGATTTCCACAGCCGCACAGAAACAACCCATTATGCTCTGGCCTGGGGTAGCTTTTATTTCTTCTTCTTTTCGTTTGTGTGTGTGTGTGTGTACCCTTCATGCTCAGTTTGCTCATGTTTCATTCATTTAAGTCCACTTGTACGCACACACAGCCCAGAATCCCACTGGACATATCTGGTTTCATCTAAAAACAGAGTTCATTGTTCACTGTGATGACATTGAACACTGAAACAAAACAGTACGTCTGTTGTCATGCCACAGTCCGGGATTATCTCCCACTTATCAGGTGCATTTTATTAGGAGGTGGGCTGTCCAGGTATGTCCAGCAGGTGGGACGGGCCACAGAGCCTCTCTGGATCTCTTATCCTTAGACCTGAACTGTGGAATCACTGCATTTGGAAGCAGAAGATGGTTTTTCTAACAACTAAAATGATGCAAAAGACTGCACTCTTTGTGACGGTTGGAGGCTTGATCACGTCTCTGATCACCACCTTCCTTCCCCTGTGGAAGACAATGAACTCTGATCTGAACGAGGTGGAGAACTGGTACTCTGGACTGTGGCACACCTGCCTCTACACGGAGGAGGTGGGGATCCAGTGTAAGGCCTACGACTCCATCCTGGGACTGCCGATGGACCTGCAGATCTCCAGGGTGCTCATGTCAGTGTCTGTAGGTACTGGAGGTTTAGCAGTGCTGGCTGCCTTCCCGGGTCTGGAGGGGGTTGATGTGTGCGTGGGGCAGCCTGGAGTGAAGAGAGGGCTGCTGATCTTCGGCGGCGTGCTGTCCTGGGTGTCGGGCATCACCACTCTGGTTCCTGTCTCCGTTGTGGCCTACACGACTGTGGTGGAGTTCTGGGACGAGGGGTTTCCTGATGTGATGCCACGGTGGGAGTATGGGGAGGCAATGTTCTCTGGATGGTTCGGAGGTTTGGCCCTGCTCATCGGAGGAACCCTGTTCTTTGTCGCCGTGTGCATGGGGGACTTCGACCGGCGGCCGCCCAGCGTACCAAACAGTCCACAGGTGAAGCACAGGACACAGCACTACCTGAAGACAGAGGTTTTATAGCTTTATTATTGCCATTTGTGTAATATCTGCACAAAGCCTATCAACTCGTGCACTTGAGAACTTTTCTGACAAGAAGCACAGAAATGGTAACATGAAAGCTACATGTGTGTTTTTTGGTTTGTTTTTTGTCCATTTCTCACTGGATTAATTACTGAAAGTCAAACATTCCTGTCTCTATTCAGCAGAAAGTGATGCAACTGTAATGAAACTGGAAACGTTTTATTAAAGTAATGTGAGATAATAAGCAATTACAG